TTTTTAAGATGAAGTCTATCTTGAATGACCATATGAGATTCAAGTTAGAGAAAAGTAACAAAGACTTAACTGATTCCATTAAGAAAAGAATCACCAAAGTACTTAGAGATCTTCTGAAAAAGAAGATGATCGATAACTATACTTACAATAATCTACGACCTCGTGGGTCTCGTTTGCCCCACATGTATGAATTACCGAAAATACATAAACAAGGTTATCCTCTTAGACCTATTTTGTCAATGATCAATTCACCATACCACAAAGTTGCACGATGGTTGGCAGATAAGTTAGAACCAGTGCGGCAACGATTAGCCACCTATACATTAAAGGATTCATTTGTAATTGCTGACAGCATGAATCACATAAATATTGCCGGTAAGTTTATGGTTTCTTTTGATGTAACATCTTTGTTTACAAAAATACCACTTCTTGAGACCATAGACATAATTTGTCAACATTCTGACATCCTACCTCTACCAGTACCAGAATTCAAACGACTATTACTCATTTGTACAAAAGATGTTCAGTTCCAGTTCAACGATATCATATACAAACAAACCGATGGTGTAGCGATGTGAAGTCCGTTAGGTCCTGTCCTAGCAGATATTTTCATGGCTAACCTCGAAGGAACCAAACTCAAACGAGCAATTGATGAAATGACGTATTATTCGAGATATGTTGATGATACCTTCATCGTATGTAATAATAAACAACATGCAATAAATCTGCTAGAGTTTTTCAACGAAGCACATCCGAATATCCAGTTCACTATGGAACATGAAAAAGAAAACAAGTTCCATTTTCTCGATATCGCGATGAAAAGAAGAAAAGATGGTACAGTTCAACGTTCAGTTTATAAGAAAGACACATGGAATGGTAGTTATCTTAATTTCAATAGCTTTTGTCCAATCAGTTACAAAAAGGCACTGGTCAAAACACTGTTTCACAGAACAGAAAGAATATGTACTTCCGATACACTAGAAGAGGAAGTTATGAATGTTAAAAAATGTTTAAAGAATAACGGATACCCACTGAAATTTATTGAGAAATACGGCAAATGTGAAGTTAAAAAGCCGAAAGAAATTACAGCAAATAAAAAGCCTATTTTTATTAAACTTCAATTCAAAGGTGACGATGTCACAGGATCAATCAATATGAGACTAAAAACTGCACTGACAAGAACTTATCCTGAAGCGAAATTGATTGTCCTGTCCAAAACAACATGCTCTTTGACACAATCAAAGGTCGACAGGTATCCCTTTCATGTTACCATCAACTGTGTATACAAATTTACATGTACCTGCCAAAGCAGTTACATTGGTAGAACAGAAAGGAGAGCTTACGTCCGATTCAAAGAACATATTCCGAAAAGTTTAAGGTTAAATGGATTGAACGCATTCAACAGTGCTATCGCAAGACATCTCCTTGATACAGGACATAAAGCTGATATACTGAAGTCCTTCAAGGTGATTAACAAACAATCAAACTCGAACCTTTTGAAATTCGCTGAAGCGTTAGCAATCAAACGCTTAAAACCAGATCTATGTATACAAAAAGAGACAGTAATAAATCTTTCTTTACCCTGGTAACAATAACCCCCACTCTTTCTATTAATTTGCTCCTATTTATTTATTTATTACGTCATTATTGCAACTCTTTCTGAAATATAAATTACATCGTACATAACTGATTGATTTCAATTCATATTTTCTTTATTGCCATTAATCTATTTTCATGAGTTCTAATCACTATTTCAATGTTCCAGAACTTTCCCTCTCAAACTTTATTTATTTATTCGAATCAAACATTTTACGAGCTCATTAACTTTATCTGAATCTTCGCTACATCATCATACACATGTATTGATCCTTAATCACACTCTTATATATAAATATGTCAATATCTGTAATAACGTTGAATTTCAAATATTTTAGGTTGTAAGCAGCTGATGAGAACCTAACGAAATAAAATGAATTCATATTATTCTGCACCAATCTTTGTTCTTGCTCTATTTAAGATAATAAAGGGAACTATGTGTATGAAATATGTATATAGTTTGAAATAATTTCTTGTATTTAAAATCAGTCATAAAATTAAAGTACGACAGCATGACAAGTTTTACATGCCATTAATTAAGTAATATGATAGTCAGAGTAATCATTTTCATTAACGACTAACAATCTATTTAAATCTATCCAGAATAAAAGACAATAAACATTTTGGAAAAACAGTCGATGCATTTATTTATTCATACAATTAGATATATAATAAACATTAGTAAACAACTAGTGAAGAAAAGAGCAGATAATGAAATACGTAGATAGATATATAGAGAGGAAGTGAAAACCCCTATTTCTTTTCCATGTTCATCATATAACGCACTTTTCGTACAATCTCGTTGACTATTAAGTGCGTGTGTGTACGTGTTTGTTGATACAGATTTACTATGTTTCACGTGCATACAACATACAGTGATTGTCACAGTACAAAACGGCAATTCATTTATTTAAATATATTAAATTGTTCACTATATTTTTAGAATTTACCGGTTTACTGACAAAATTCTAAGTGACAAGGGATTTCACTAACTAAAAATTTATTTTTAAGGATTTTGTGTAATGATGCAAATGTTGTAGATCACCAGAGTTTGTGTAATACATAAATGAGGTCAACAATATAACCTTAACAAACTCATTGTGTGAAAAATAATCACGTTCACATAACTTACTAATTTCCAAAGGTAATTCCTGGAATTCTAGTGAGAGGTTGGAACCAGTGGAGTTCAGCCATGTCGACGAGTGAGACAGTATTGAAAAGATAGTTGTGCAATATCACAAGTTGACTAAAGTCAAAAGCATAAACCATTAAGACGCTACCCAAATGGTCCAAAGGTTACTTAAGTGCTTATTATGAGACTTAAAGGTCCAGAGTTCAATCCCCGATAGTGTCGTCGACACCCACCATTAATGGGATCCATACTAGGATGAAGAGACTGTCCAGTTCATCCTGGTTTCCAATGATCTCACCGGTTGAAATCATGAGTCAGTAGAAGCTAGACCACCATGGAAAACCTGGAAGCACTGGATAGCCGTTTCGTCCTAGTATGGGACTACTCGGGAGTGCGCATCCACGATCCCGCCCTCCGCGAGATTCGAACCCAAGACCTATAAGTCTCGCGCCAGGCGCTTAACCAACTAAACCACTGAGCCGGTATCCAACGGTGTTAATGTCTAACTTCAACCAATCCACGAAATCGCACCACTGCACACCAATGTGTTCATTGAGTTGATATCTCACCACAGACCTGGTTGAACTCCACTGGTAACGGCTTCTCACTAGAACTCCAGGATTATCTCTTGAAGTCAGTGATTGTTGAAATAAGACCAGTTCTAAAATTTAAAAAGCATTACTTTTCGAATGTTTACTATGATATTAGTTCATTATAAAACGTATGTAATTAAACTAATCAACTACTTAGCAAAATAAAATCGACTACTAGAATAACCAATCACTACCGCTCATTAATAACCCACTTCAATCATAGAAAGGAGTGATCAGAGAAGTCATTTAAATGCGAAAATAACTACAGATAAAAATCGATAGCATAAGATAGGGAATAACTAAAACAAAAGACAAGCATAGCCAGTAACAAAATGATAACCTGTTATCCATAACATGATAAAAATATTTGGATTCGGTCACATCTAAATTGATATAAAACTAGAACAAAACAATCGCCTGAATATTTGCGGTTTCAAGAAAGTATTCAGTCTAAGGTTACCTTCAGATTATGCGTTTTCTCCGTAAGCAAAATAGATAACGTTTAAAAGTGAGTTAAATTTGAATAACTACTTGTGCGAATTTAACAAATATCAATGTTACACAACACCCAATAAACCGTTAACAAACGATTACGTAAGACGATACAAAAACTGTGTATTAGGGTATTATTCCTCTTACACCGAGTTTCAATATCTTACAGACACAACTCATGAGTACATGTCATTTAGCAATTCTCTATGGAAAGATAATCAGTATTAATATCTGAACGATAACAACTAGACAGTTATTATTTAGGATAGATGGATTGTGGCTAGTAGCCGGATAGGCCTAAATTTGTTTTGATTTTTTCACCGCCTCCTAAATAGAGTAAATTTTACTCCAAGCGTAAAATGCGCTATCCACTAAGCTACTTTGCCCAGATAGTTACTAAACCAAACCCTTTCTAATAATGATATAAACAGTTATGTATTAAACTTAATATTTAAGGGGATGGAACCTATCAGCTATTTGATGAACATTAGCTTACATCCTAATTGATTTAACTTGTTTACAAGTTACAATTTATGTATTGAGAGATTTGAATCATATCGTTTGATAGGAAGGTCAATGATACTACCTGGTTGAACAAACCGGAGTGGGACAAAACTCGAACCTATTACCGAAAAGATGAGTGCTCTAGACATTAAGCCGCCGCTCACACTCATAATTTCTATTGTGCCAAATACGAATTATATCTTTTTCAGACTACATATTTCGCAAATGTTATATTTCAAGGAAATTGAAAAGATTAAAATAAAGAGATTTGTAGTGTGTTCTCGTACAGCTTCGTGATGAATTTTCATTATAAGTCTGGCATTAATAAAATGACCACTGACAACCAAGATGCATTACATAGCATTTTCATTTTAGTTCAAGACACCTCAACAGTATATACATTTAAGACATTACGCTGAGTTAAACTTAAGAGGGCTTTAAGTTTCCTGGTAAAGATGACATTATCACTCGATATCAAGACTGTGTAATATAAATGTATATATCCTTCAAAGTCTATAAAATATTTTTAAAAGGTGCATTTAACTTAAATTTAGCTACTTTTTTATTAATAGACTGTATGTTGATGACGCCTGTGTCTGTCTTAAATACTAACCTTTGTATAAAAATTTTTAATTGAATGGATATACTTAACATAATGAATTTTTCAAGATGATAACACTTACACGACGACCTTCATCGGTATAGCATAATTCACCGTCGATTTTGTATACATCGGCTGGGCACCATTGACTACGACCATCACAATATTCCGGTAAATCACAAGTACCAGATTCATTACGACAGATAGTTCCGGAAGGTTTTAATTTACAATAAAAAGATGCTGATTGATTTACATTTTCCAGGGAATTTTTTTTAATAATATCACAACATGGACCACCAGCACACTGAGAATTACCACGTAATCGACAACGTACTGGGTCACAACAGGCTTGCCACTTTTCTGGACATGAAGTTCTAAAGTATAGTTTATTTTAAGAAAGTTAAGAAGAGTGATACAAATTGATGTAAAATAACAAAATTAATTTCATGAATTTATGCATATTGAAGAAACAATGCATGTGAGCTAAAATGAATTAACGTCATCTGGGGTACAACTACGTTACGTTCTGCGGTTGTTCTAGTACATACGGATATATACGCTTTTTATACTGGGACCCGATCAGGTAGTGAGTATTGAAACTAGAAATGAATGGGATGCTCCATATGAAGAAGGAATCTATTTTGCATACAACTCACTATTATATATATATATATATATATATATATATATATATATATATATATATATATATATATATATATATATATATGAATAAGAGTTACTCGCGGGAACATTCACCCTCTGTCTACTTTTCATATGACCGACTGATCAACTTTAGATTATCACCATTTCTTAAACTTTAACAATTAAAAAATAATGGTTGACATTTTTTAAAGTTCAGTTATTATATTATGTTTATACTGACAATTTTATTGGTTTTCTAAAAGTGTCATTTACCGTGATAAATAACATCAAACATTTTATTTTACCGGAGGATTTTTATAAATTTCCGGATTTCATCAGATAATCTACGTAGGCAGATATTTATAAATTTGCCTTCACTGAAGAAAATCGAAATAACTGATTCTCATACAGTAACTATAGTGCAAATCGAAAAAACTGTTAAAGACGACGGATAGTAAGCTTTAGTGGTATACATAAGTCACGAAGAATTATTAACAGGCTTCAATGAAAATAATTGTCGTGATTAGTTTTATGACATGATTCAGTAAACCAAAAAAATAAGTAGGAGTGAATTAAATTCACGTATTTAGAGAAGTAGCGTTTGGTTTGGATAAGCCTATGGAGGTTCCAAAAGAGATCTACTTTTTAAAAAAATACATTCTTACATATTTTAAATTAAGTTATGCAATGGTAATATTTAAAAAAATAATTGTTCCCTATTATGTGCAGAAGGTAATGATAACTGCATTAAAATCGATTTTGTGTAATATTTACAATTAACGATTGGTTTCACTGACGAATTGATAGCATGACGACATGACCTCTACCGGGTCCCTCCTATTAGCAGACTGTTTCTTGGATAACTTAGAAAACATTATTATTTTGAAAACGAAATTATTCTAAAGTCTATCAATTCATAACTATAATTCAAATGTCATACACAGGTAAGGCTTTAAATCTTTATTTTATATTAAATAGTTGAATGGTATTAATTTCATTTTCCAAAATAATCTTCATTCGACTAGACTATAAACAATAACATTTGATTGATAGATAGACAGAGCTTGCAACAAAATAAACTGATATAAAAAATGTATTCACTAAGAGAATTCCCAAACTCTTGTACACTGATAAAGGTTTATTGTTTTGGTTTAATCCTATCGCCTCAATAAGAAATTACCTTCCTATTATTGTCGAAATACAAGTAGATTATTTTTAAAATTGGTTGGGTGAGTCATTCTGTTGAAGGTAAATTCACACACAGGGTTAATATTTGATTTAAAAAAAATACATACACAAATGTCGACAGTACATTAATAACATACAAGTCAAAACGATTAAGCATCTGGCTATGATTATTGATGAATTTTCATTCTCTATCTGTTTTCTTCTATACTGTTAATCTTACATATACAGCAGAATATGCATACACAAGGATAGCCATTGGGATGATGTTTACACTCTGTCGAAACAAATGATACAAATAATATCATCACGACCAACTGTCCAAACCTGGAGAAAATTGCACTACGTTCATAAAGTATTCTGATAACTGTATATTCGGTAATGTGGCTAGTAATGGGATCTAGTACGTGTGTTCTGTCACATTTTGCACCCCTCAATTTAATGCATATTAAATTTAATGATGATATCCTCAATGAGATTCGATAGTATTCCTTATCACTCCCATAGAAGACTTCTATCTGAAGTTTGTGCTGATGATGTCGTTCAGAAGAACGATGAAAGCTCCACGACCAAACCATCCAGCTCACAGAACAAACTCCACCAAAATTATCACTCCCATCTACAATTCGTTATCTACTAAGCTGCTGACTGAGTTCAAAACCTGTTTGAAATCTTGATCAATAGTATGTATTGTAAACACAAAGTTAATGATTTGTCAAGACGTTGCAACCCTTAAATTATTAAGATACTTGGATTTGTGTTAGATATTTTCAATAACACTTAGCATATGTAATAAACTTAACCTTGGTAAGATTCTTTCTATAAAAAGGATTAATTCTATTAAAAACAAAGAAATGTAGGAAATTGAAGCTAGACCACCATGGAAAATTGGGAAGCACTGAAGTACTGATGGTCTAGCTTCAATTGACTCATGATCTCTACCACTGAAACTACTATAATATCCACAAAAACGCTTCTAATGTGAAATTGTTAGGAAGTACACAGTGACGAGCGAAAATAAGAATTAAGAAAATTGAGACAATACTAATTCAAATAAGTGAGTTAAATTATTTTCCGTCCCAAATCTTGCTCACCACTATTGATTGTTTTTTATCTGTCTATCCTTTCTCGTTTCTTTTCTTGCTCATCATAGGTTAGGACTCTGGTTTCAACTGTTTGTCACTAAAGTCAGTCGTTTCAAAGACAACACTCAATTATGACTATCATTTAGATAGATTGGTAGACAGACAAACAAAAAGAAAAGTGTATCGATTTCAAAATGTCACATGTTTGATTACATTGTAGACTAATAGTGTTGACGTCTAGGTAACGAAACATTTCAAGTTTCTATGGTGATGACTCTTAGAAAAGTAACTTCGCTAAAGGCTTCTCGTGGAATTCGTATCGTGCATAAAAAACTTCTAAAACTCACTAAATATCACGAATTCACATCTTTTATTCTTAGTTAATCTTTTCCGTTCACTGTGATATTGATGGAAAATTAATATTAGTTGTGTTAAAAAGTGAATGCGGATAATTACAGGGATTATACATGGTGACTATTCTACGAATGATAGGCATTACTAAAAGACCAAATAATTGATCGGTGGATAAATCAAGTATATTGAATTGTTAGCTGAAATGTGTTTCACACTCGCCAATTATTCCATTTCCCATTGGATTACTCATTGGTGTCTGAAGTTTTGTCAGGCTATATAAATAAATAATCCAACAATAAAATCCAATGAAGTTCACTCTAAGCAATAATTGCTACATTCCTTTGCAGTATGGATTATTAAAATTAATCGAATTACTATTTTGATTTCTTTAATATAAATTATTTTTCTATCCAATTATGAGTGATGATATTTTAGCTAATATATACACAGACATGCACGTTCCTACACTGTTTCTACTTGTTCATCGATTTGAACAATTTACATAAACAAAAGGGGAACAGATCAAACTATTGAGTCATTTAAAGTATACTAGAGTTTAAAACAATTCAGTCTATCAGGTTTCTTCTTATTTATTTGTTGTTGGATGGTTTGAAGTGCTAAACACATAGTGGCCTTCATTGACCAAGTAGAATAGAACATCCGTAATGATTGTCAAACTACCGTTTACCTTGACTGACAACGTTTGATGGTGTGGAAGTAGGTTTAAAGAAAGTTAGGGGAGGCCATATCAAGACTTGGTATCACTCCGTAAAGTCAGTGATGGCTAAACTGAGTTATGCTGGTACGTAAAGACTACCTTGATTGGAGTGTGCGTGAATTAACTCTTTTAGAAACTCAACTCGCTATGCTGATTCGATGTGACGAATTGAACATGTGAATATATGTGCCAAGTTTTACCTTTATTAAGACTGATTAATGTATCTGCATTAAATAACAATATAGATAATTTTTTACGAAATGAAAAAAACAATAATATAAAAATGACCTGGCTTAACTTACTGTGTACCACAATCACATTCTTCACCAGGATCCAACACCCCATTTCCACATAATCCATTTGCATATTTCTCAACAGATGAGGCAGAATGACGTTGTCTTATAGTTAATACACGACTAACTGGAATTCGTTTCGCTTCACTTTGCCAATCATAAATATGTACAACACTTGGAATACTTATATTATTATTATTATCATTATTGTTATTCTTTCTATGTGTAGATGTTTTAGAGTTTGGTACGAAAGAATTAATTGTTACACTCCCACTAGCAGGCAAATCATGTAAACAAACACCCATTCCATGGTTTAATAGACCTGGTAAATCTCTTATAGAACATGGTGACCATTTCATAACTGTTGTGCCAAATCTTTGAGGTGAGAAGCGAAAAAAACAATAATAATGTTGAGTGATATCATAAATTGGAGAGATTTATTTTTACGTAATCCAGTCTGATGGGAAAAAATGTAAACAACAGATTCAGGAGTGGAGTGGCTGTAACTGAGTAAATGCGAGATTCACACTACGTTTGGACATAATGTTCTAGGTAGAGGTGGTGAATGGGTTGCTAAGACCTTGCATTACCGTCGGCGAAGTTGGAGGGAATATGAGTAACATATAGCTGATCACTGCCTACCTCGACGTCTATAACTGATTTTTGTAGGGGTACATGTAAAGAACGAAGAAGGCAGTTTAACTGGGAAATGGGATCAATCGATGAAGTCGGTGACCGTTAATCTGAGCTGTAATGGCAGATAAACATTGGATTGTTGAAGATAGCGTGAAAATCATGATCAGTGGTAGTAAACTTAGGGTGAAATGAATTAAAATAAGCAAATCGACATAGATAACTTCATTCGACATTTCCACCAAAGTCCTAATTTTGGACACTTTTAAGATGTAGATTTCAATCGATAAACTTAGATTTGGATGATTATTAACTACTAGCAGCCTGTCACATATATAAAAATCTGTATTACAAATAGAATTTGTAAAAATGAAGTCAATCACAAGTCAACGTAAACATGTATCGGTAGGGTTTTAGCAAAACTATAACAACCCAATAAAAATTACGAAGACCGGATACAATGTAACAATAATAAATGTCATATTTAAATGACATTTTCTGAAAAATCGATTACTGTAGTAACAATAGTAACATACAACTTAATACAAGACGTTGCGTAATTCCATAAATGTGAACAAAAGTTGATGATAGATAAGTACAGAATAGGTCATGATATAACCGGATCAAAAGTCAAAATTACATTCTTTTACTCATTATGATTTTTGTTCAACGTTACTTCCGTTTTAATTAAATATGAAGATTACTCAGTGTAGTATTTGTTTCTGTTTTCTCGTATGACATTTCATTCTGTATAACATACGACATTTTTGCAATAAAAATTGACATGAACTATGAATCAGCATGACATATAGCATATGATTTGTTATAACAGTGAGTATTTTTCATATATGTGATTTCATCCTAATTATTAATCAAAATGGGTGTACAAACCAATATATAGATTAGTGTATTTTCGACTAGGGTCGTCGTCGCGTTTGAGGCTAAAAAATTCATTTGTACCAGTCTTCTTGTTTTAACTTTCGCGTCGTAATAGGTGATTCCGATATAATAATCAGCGACGACCAGAGATAACAAGTAGCGTTCAATCAGAAGACGTATCAGGTACAATATTCATTCATTTATCTGCGAGATCATTTATTTAAAATCCATTGCCTCTATTATAATCAATTTTTCAGAAAATTCAAATGGATACGATATTCAATTGTGACCTGGTCGTGGCTGCACCGACCACATATTCACCATTCGTCAGATTCTAGAACACAGGCATACTTATCGGCGTCCGACAATGGTGGTCTTCCTCGACTTAAAAGCAGCATTTGACTCGGTAGACCACGAGACTCTGTGGCAGTGTCTGTCATTGAAAGGCGTACCTCAGAAGTACATAAACCTTGTGAAGGCTCTTTACTCGAACACTACTAGTCGAGTCAGAGCTTATGGCGAACTGTCATCTACTTTTGCAACCTCAAGTGGTGTCCGTCAAGGCTGTCCACTTTCTCCATTTTTGTTTAACTTCATCATAGACCTACTGATGGAAATAACATTCTCGTCGACTGAGTTCTCGTGTATTGATCTCCTACCAGGAGGTCCACTTATCGACTTAGAATACGCAGATGACATAGTCCTGTTTGGTGAAGACGCTGACAAAATGCAGAGTCTTCTGGTAGCACTGAGCAACAATGCCAGAATGTTTTGGAATGCGCTTCTCTCCCTCTAAATGCAGGTTGTTACTTCAGGACTGGTCTGCGTTAACACTTGAACTAAGGATAGGGAGTGAAGTAGTCGAACGCGTTGACAACTTCACTTAACTTGGAAGTCTGATCAGCCCTAATGGGTTGGTGTCGGACGAAATCTCAGCACAGATTCGAAAAGCTCGATTGGCTTTTGCCAACTTACGTCACCTATGGCGAAGGCGAGATATCCGTCTATCAATAAAAGGACGAGTATACTGCGCGACAGTCCGTTCTGTTTTAATTTACGGCAGCGAAACATGGCCATTAAGAGTAGAAGACACTCGTAAACTACTAGTATTTGACCACAGATGCCTTAGAAATATTGCTGGCGTCTGCTGGGATCACCGGGTAAGTAATAGTGAGGTTAGACGCAGGGTATTAGGGAATCATGGTAAATCAGTTGATGAGGTTATGAATCTTCATCGACTGAGATGGTTGGGCCACGTGTTACGTATGCCTGAACACCGATTACCACAATGTGCAATGCTATCCGGTATTGGAGATGGTTGGAAGAAAGTTAGGGGCGGCCAAACCAAAACGTGGCATCAGTGCTTGAAGTCACTAACTTCTTTTGTTAATTTGAATTCAATGAAGTGTTAGTTATCTAGTGTCAAACAACAACTAGCTAGTCTGAACTCTTATTATTTTATTAATGTCATGGTCAGATATGTTATCATGTTTTATTTGCGTTTTGGTCAAATCATAGTCATTTCTAGACAGATACATGGAAAGTAATAGCCATCATTACTTGTTTAGAACACATCTATGAATGAAATCGAACTGATCACAATAATATTAGTGTTTAAAATTAAATACAGTAAATTATTCCTACTGTTGAAGTGTTACTTGACTAATGCAACAAGATATTGTAACGGTCTAACATTTTTTATTCATTTTCCCAGTGTCTTATTATGACATTTAGAGTTTTTGGACGGTTCTCGTATTATGATTTTTAACTTCATTTTACCAACAAAAACAATCATGAGAATGTATCCAGTTAAGAATTCACACACATTGGTTACACCATAAAATGGAACACTATCTACTGGTTGAACTTGATACTTCCAAAGAAATTGAAAATTGGTTAGAAAGTTCATAATAAACACATTTTTTGTTATATCCCATTGAGTAGGAAAATTGTATTTCTGACGTTTCATGACTTAATGTAATCCACTTCTTCAGAGTAGAAATGGCCTTTATTCAGTCATGAAAAGTCAGAGATACAATTTTTCTACTCATTGGGATATAACAAAAAAAATATTTATTATTAGCCACTGGGTTGGAATTCTATTTATTTGCATACACATATGATAGTTGGTTGTAAGTGGTTGGGCCACGTATTACGTATGCCTGAACACCGATTACCACGACGTGCAATGCTAACCGGGGTAGGGGATGGTTGGAAGAAAGTTAGGGGCGGCCAAACCAAATCGTGGCATCAGTGCCTGAAGTCACTAACTTCTAGTCTGAGCCATGTTGGTAGATGCAGACTACTTGGTTGGGGTCCGCGTGACTATCGTAACCAATGGTTGGAGACTCTTGGTGACATGGCTCAGAATCGATCACAATGGCGTCGGTGTATACACTCCCTGTCTTCCCTTAAACTAAGAGATTAAAATTACTTCATATCTTTCTTTCTACGAACCAATTCTTTCTTCTTGTACTATATCTCTATATGCAATCTTTCTCTTACATATTACTACCTTTGACCTATCCACTGCTATGGATCCGGTGTTCATCTTGTTGTGCTGATGCGGTATGGCAACCTGGACCGATGCACATATGTGCCTGGTCCTACGTTGTAGCTGACTGACTGGCTGACTGAGGGTTTTGCAGACTGATGAGTTACAATGAAATAATGAGCCAATTAATGTTCGATTCCTGAGTGGGAAGTCGTAAATGTGAACTACTGAGGAATCCTATACCAGGACGAAGCGGCAATCCGGTGTTTCTGGATTTTCAATGGTAATGTAATATTGATCGACACAAGGTTTCTTTGAAACTGAACAATCTCCATAACCATATATTTACATATTGTCAAGTGGATCTCGAAGTGGAAACTATTAACAATTTGTTCATAACGAACAACAAAAAGCAACTTCAGGATGAGCGTAATGACTAATGGTGGTTGTGTTCTTAGTTTCAATAAATACCTCTAAATTCCTACTCTTGAATAATATATCGGCCTAATGTTCGTTTATTTCCAGATACATTACAATCGATATCAGTCCATGATAAAAAGAATATATCCTCGAAAGTGTTTCTATCTAGCAAATGATCAAAATGAACTAATAATGAGTTGATATATTTCACAACAAAACTATCAAATCGAAGCAAATAACACCTTTAGCGTTATTTATTTCGCCAAAAACGTAAACCGAACTTAGCCAATACAAAGAATGTTTGTAATCTCTCTCTCATGATCATAATCATGGACATTGCTGTCAGAAAAAGTAACCTTGGAAACCACGTGATACTTACATGTTTGTGAAAATATGATTATTATGACTTAAGAGCGTCGTAATAGGTAAACAATTACAACCAACCATCATTTAGGCATTCATATTTAGACTTCATATGTGGACATGCTAATAGTGAATTTGGAAAGCACACACATGCATAAGTAAGGGTCTATAAGAAATTTCTTTCTTTTTCTCTGAAGATAACAACAAGGGACGATATTTTTGTGGTGTTATAAAAACCTATTATATACTAAGTTGTCTAGTAAGACAGTTATTCATTCGAACAACCAAATAAGTCGATGGACATTAAGGAGGAAATCAAATACAATATGAAAACAAATATGTCTGTGATCTTGACAAGAAATAGCGCAATGTAAATAAAACGCAAATCTGTAAACAAAACACGTTATTAAGAAAAGTTGACAGTTTATAATTATGTCAAAATACTGATTTTTAATTCCTGTAAATAACTTATCACAGAAAAAAAATCAACGAAAAAGTCTTCTGAGACAATAATACGAAAGACAGAGACAACGATCAGCATAGTGTTGACACTTTGAATTGTTGACTTGGGAACCTTTCAAGTAGCAAGGTTGTGTAATTTCCTATTGTTTATATTCAGGACTTCCATTAACCAATTTCTACATTGTCATATGGGTTGTTTGAGAACTCAGTACTATTGCTTTCGTTTATCAGACGTTATCGGTTAGGCTACTGAGCTCAGATAGTCACAAACTGTTTTGTATATTAAAAACGAGACATTACGCACTCTTACATATAAATTCATGCTCAACGAACCAGTTAGTAGACTCAGTAGCCTAGTGGATAACGCGTTGATGTTTGCAGACGTAAGTAGTGGTTTCAAGTTACAATATGAACATCGACGCTGACAAACAGACATGGGCACGACGAGACAAAAGCAACAAAATTGATGGAAATAATGTAGTAGCAATGATAAAATGAAAGATAAGCCTTGAGAATATGACTTGAAAAGACATGGTGAAAAGTATGTATGATGGGATACTGGAATTCGAAATGGAAAGAAAGATAAGGGCTGAATGGTATCTGTTCTATCGCTAGCGATTTTTGAGCCACATCAGACGAAGTTTTCAACAACCGACAACAGCTGTCAAGCGGATGAACTTCAGGTGCAATTTATTAATCAAAAATAGACAAATATAATTCACCAATGAATAGTACTTACTCTACACCAGTAGCCATTATACAACCTTGACATTCACATTCTTCAGTATCATGTCTTAAACCGAAATTATGTCCAAGTTCATGTGCGATAGTGCGAGCTGTTTCAATAATATCAAGTGTTGGTGATACCTAAATAAATACATACAACAACAACGAAAAATAAGTAGATAAAATATCCATATTTTTATATCTAGATAAAATATTTTATTTATTTACTTTTGGTCACAATCAACACAATTGCCAGTTCTTTTTTGTTTTGCAAACATATTATCATGATGGAACTTTCAAGGTTCTAATAAGAAGCTGTAAACTGTGAAGAAATTAAAACTCTATAATTAAGTGGGGTAGTAGTTAATTGACTATGAAATCGGTTAGTTAACTCTTCTTTAGAAGTATTGCGATGGTTGAGAGACTAAAAAATTATGGGTACAATCTCTTATAAGATTGTGAGCTTTACCAAAGTAAACTAAAACAGCTTCATTCTTTTTATCATGAGAACATTATCTCTAAGCTGCATAAAATCTCCTTGAAAAAGTAAGGCAATAAATAAAGGCAATTTAAGTGATTTTGATAAGTTTATATTATAATTTAATTGATCTAAAAAGATTTTGGAATTTCGCAGTCTACATTATGCATCTACATTCTTTAGCGACCCGTTGAAAATCAAGAAGCTCTTTAGTGGGATTTTAGATACTCATTGCTGAAGAGTCTTGTACTAAGACGAAACAACTTTTCAATATTTCCTCATTTTCAAGGATTGTCTAACTATGATCATTTCGTGTGATTCAAATTACAAAATGTTCAAATACATACATATAAATACTACAGACCATATGATGAGAATGAGTCATTGAAAGAAGGTCGAAGACATAAAATAACCTAGTTGTAAGGATTAGTGAACTTGTTAATCAATTGAAGGCATCACGATAGATCATCATGTCTAATAACAGCAGCAAATACCAGTACATTATATGACTCAGTCAGCAAACATGACTAATATGATAACCAACTAATGAACCGAAAATTCAGAGAATTACTGAGTTAATAAATTATTAATTAAACAATTATTGAAAGAATAATGAAAAATTTTGTTCAAACTTACTCTACTGTAACCAACACAACGCGAATAAATACACATGGTCATATGATTAGCTTTTCCACGTGTTCGTGAGCCTTGTTCTTTTGTACCTCTATGTTGTCAGGTCATTTTTTGTTTGTATAAGGAAAAGAAACCAGAAATGAAAAGTTTTTTAAAGGAAAAATGTGAATTCACGTCAAAGTTTAAACAAATAACTTAACTCGTATTTATATTATTAGATTGTAAAGAGATATAACAACAACATGTGTCATAGATGACACATTAGTTTGGGCGGTTTCTAATTAATCAATAGATAAAACTCCTCGTACGTTGAAGTTATGCAAAGTGGTTGTAGTCATTATCGTTGAGGCATTAATTACTATTGTACTACACGACAATGGACACGAAGAATATACTTATTGTAAGAAGTTACAAAGTATTTAATTAATACATTATACATTTGTATCATTCAGTGTGTTCTGTTATGTGAACTGTCTTCTCATCTGGTCTTCAAGTGTTCTGCCAACGCCATGCTTTCGCCGCTCCGAAACTCTTCACTTCATTTGATAATTATAACAACTTCGACATTCTGTTTCGCTACACAATACTTACAAACAGTCTTGTAACTAGGGTCCACTACACTATTACCATAATGGGATTTAGTATTAGTAGTAATAATAATGATAATAGCATTAGACGATAGTTTCATTAGCATCTTACTGACACATATTCACTTCGGCAAACTTTATGTACACTTACTTAGGCTGAATAAAACAGGTATGAACGTGTGTTTATTTTGTTCAATAATCAATAACAATTGTATTTTAAGTTGTAATAAGGTCAAATGGTTATTTGTTTAACCAGTAATGTGTGATGTTAATTAGATTGAATATTGATCTCATCATTCACTAAAAAAGAACTGATTAGTTGAGATAAATTTGTATTATTTAAATAAGGAGGGTTTGATGACTGACATTGTATCTGAATAAGATTAAATTATGGATAATTTCTAAATTTATTTAGTATCTGAACACATAAATATTGGAACAAGAGAGCGCCAATATATATGCGACACACAAAACAATGAGAATTCGAAGAGAAATAGAAAGAAAAAAAACTAAGGGGCGCGCAAAAACAAAGAGAACAATAACGAAGAGATTGGTGTAAGGTAGTGTGGTAGTAATGAGGGAACGGAAAGGTACAATCAGAAGAAATCTTTCAGGTAAGGGAGGCAGAACCACTTTTTATGAAGAAAGAAAAAGAAGGCTACAGCAGGATCGCCACTGGCTTCTATTCTGAGCCATATCTGATAACGTCTCTAGCCACTGTGTAGCACTATGTCTCGGACCCCAACCAGGGAGTCGTGAAGGACCGACAGAAGCCAGTCCTTTGCAGCTTTCTTTCATACCACGACACCATGTCATGCACTGACCACCTCTCCGCTATTTCCAACCAGTCCCAGCGTCGGCAAATAAGGCAAGACGTGGAATTCTCTGGAACGACATTCGGAGAACATTTCCAATCCACCGAAGTCGGTGTTTCAAGATGGTGACACCAATTGCATTATCATCTCTGTGCCCGAACACACGATGCCGAACCTCTGCATTACTAACATGGTGTTGCCACTGGATGTCAGCAAGCCTTCAGAGACAACGATGATCGAACACAGAGAGTCGTCTAACGTCCTCAACTCGGAGAGATCAGGTTTCACAAGCATAGAGCAAAACTGCTCTCACCGACGCGTTGTAGATCCGACCTTTTACAGCCAGACTAACATCACGGAGGCGTCAAAGATGGCCTAGATTGGCATAAGCCGCTCTGGCTTTCATTATACGTGCATTGATCTCATCACTCACGCCACCACCAGCACTTATGCAGCTACCTAGATACACGAACTTCTCGACTACTTCTATCTGTTCACCATCCAGAGTGAGTACAGAATAAGAATCCTGCCAGTCTTGTAGAAGTACTTTGCACTTCGAAGGTGTAAAGCACATATCATACCTACAGACACTGATTGCTAACTGATTAAGTGCGGATTGCATGTCTTGGGCATTATCTCACAGTAAGACAATTTCGTCCGCATACTCAAGGTCGAGAAGTCTTTCTCCACCATTACTTTCATCCATCAGAGCTGTTTCCAGAATGTCATAGATGACAAGGTTGAGGAGGAATGGTGTGATTGGGCAACACTGCCTAACCCCACTGCTCGAATGGAACAATGGAGAGAGGTGGTTGTATGCCCTTACTCTGCCTGAAGAGTTTGTATATAGGGCTTTTAGGATGTTAATAAACTTCTCAGACACACCCTTCTTCAATAGACAATCCCAGAGAACAGTCCTGTCCAACGAATCGAAGGCAGCCCTGATGTCAAGAAACACTACGATTGTTGGCCTTTGATAAGTATGGCGGTGTTCTAACATTTGGCGGAGGGTGAAGATATGATCAATACATCCTCGACCAGAACGAAACCCAGCCTGCTCCTCGCGAGTCAATCTTTCTCGGGTTTTGAACAACCTACGAAGTATGACGGAAGCCAATAGCTTGGACGCAATCGGAAGTAAACTTATCCCCCGGTAGTTGTTACAGGAACGACGTGAACCCTTTTTGAAGATAGGGACAACTATCGACTCATTCCATGACGTTGTTACACTCTCCAACTCCCAAACCTTTGTAAACAACGTCGCTAATTCCTTAGTCAGAAAGTCACCACCAACTTTAAAAGGAGCCGGAGGTAAGTCATCTGGGTCAGGTGATTTGTAACGCTTCAAGAGTTGGAGTTCCCTGCGGACTTCCGCCTCATTTGGTGGATCAGTCGTCACCGGCCATGGAGGGCAGGACAGTCTGACCGATGTTGCCGGAGCAGCAGGCCAGTTGAACTGCCCTTCGAAAAATTCTGCCGACCGTCCAAGACGTCGATGGATGTTGGTGATTGGCATCCCATCATCCTCGCAGATTGTTTCGCTCACACCAGACTTCTTGCTGCCAGTGGCTCGGATGAGTTGGAAGAGCTTCAGGTAGTTACCACATGCAGCTGCTGCTTCCAGCTCATTAGCATGCTCCGACCACCAGGCTTCTCGGTCCTTACGCAAGCTTTGCCCAATTTCCTTACGTAACATCCTTCGTTTATGGTCAAACTCACGGTCACCGGAGTAGACCGACGGGCTTCAATGAGTTGTAAGGAACCTGCAGAAACCCAGTGCTTATAAGCGGGACGTTTCGCGAACCCACACCTGACTGTACCCGTCATTTTCATGGCGTCATGCAATTGCAACCAATGCTCATCTATACTTTTCGATGGAATGGTGGCTAGCCTAGAAGCTAGCTCGGTTCGATACCTACTTGCAACCGAAGTTGCAACCAACTTGCTGACATCAATCCTTTAGTGACGATCACTTCGTTGGCCACTGAAAAGTAAGGTAAGATTGGCTCAGACCACGGCATGATCAGAGTCCAGATAGGTACTCCAAAAGGAGCGGCAGTCTTGTACACAACCACGCCAGCGGTAGCTGATCGCGATGTGATCAGTCTGAGTCCAGGCTTCAGATGCAGAGGGAGGACGCCAGGTGGCACATCGGCGATGACTGTGCCGAAAGTTAGTGCTAGCCAGAAACAGGTTGTGGTATGGGCACAGTTGCAGTGGACGGTCCCCGTTATCTGACCTACGACCAACGAGTCCCCATCGGCCACCTAAACGACTCTCTTCAGTGCCTAGATGCCCGAACTGAGCATTCAAGTCTCTGGCCAGTACTACAATATCTGTCGAACGCACTTTCTGGAGAAGAACAGATAACTGGTGGTAAAACATCCTTGATTGCATCCGGGCTGCAATCTGTCGGGACATAGGCGGAGATGCCGAAAAGACAGCGTTTCTCACGCCGATTTCTTCTCACTTTGATGGAACTCTCTAATCTAACAGCACATAACCGACTGTTATCGGGGATCCAATCGATTAGTGCTCCCTCAGCTCTAGCGCTTAGTGCGACACCAACGCCAGCGAGTCCAGACGAAGATGCCACAGGGTCCCCGGATAAACGCACGTAAAATAAGCTTTTTGAAGTGACAGATGGGGAGCGAATTTGTAGTACTTCACCAGAGTTTTGAATCCGGGTCTCGGATAGACAACAAACGTCGATTTTAAGACTTTCCAGGGACATAGCCAGCCCTATCTGTTGTCCAACCTGCATAAGTGTGCGAACGTTGAAGTTAGCCAGTTTGAATAGTGCACGTGATTTCAGAAAAACTGCTTCAGCACTCATAATCAGTGGAAACATACAATTTTCAACCGGACAGTGACTTGAGAACGTTTAGATACAGTCGAATTTCCACCAAAGACGAGCCGCTGTATAAGTATAAAAGAGGGTGAATAATGTGGAAAATAATAATAATAATAACAATAATAATAATAGTGATAATAATAATAATAATAATAATGACGATAATAGTAATGATAATAATTTGAATCATTTGACTGTTTTCGAAGCGAGAAAAGTAGTTTCCATAGCTATAGAGAGTTCATCATTTGCGTGTGGGCTGTGATACTGCCCGGGTGCCCAGACCGAAGCATATTTACTTCGCATAATTGAAATATACGATTCACACAGCGGAGGCTGATATTTGTGTTCTGGACTGAGCGGGCTAGGCTAGGCACGAAGTTACTAATACAGAGGACCAATAAGTATTCAGAGTTGACGCAAGACTGCTAGTGCTGGTTGACGTGTCATTGATTTAGCACAGAGACAAAGTCATATAAATCGGTATACTGATTAGAAGTTTCATCACATGATAATTGACAGGGCCATAGGCCATAGGACATAACAGGAATTTTGTATTCAGTCTAGAAAGCATATTTAAGGAATGTATAACTCAGAGACATCTGTTAAATGAATAATTTTTACGGAAGTATTTAAACCTTATCATTTTTACTAATATCAAGTCGTATGGGATTTCGAAAAGCTTATCAAAATGAGTGGTTAGTTTAAAAGTATTATCACGTTATAATTATTTGAATAATACGACATAATGGTCAAGTGGTTCGAAAGTGCAATCGACGTTCAGCTATTGTAATGTCAGTTTGGAACACAAGTCATTAACTATGCTGCACGAAATCGGAAGTCCTATTTGATTTCATAAAATAGTATGTCAAAGTTTACATTTTTTATTCTAGACAACATCTACTGATTAAATGAGTCGAATAGAAGTATTTTTTACAGGTACTTATAATTAGCAACAATAATAATAATGTACTGTAGTGTTTGTTGTTTAGTCTGTCTTACAATAAAATAGTTCATTTCAGATAGATATATGTAAGTATGATTGGATTTTTAGAAATAAATGCTAAAATTTCGAATAATAATAATAATAATAATAATAATAATAATAATAATAGGTGTTACTGAAAACACACTACTGAGATGACTCATCTGTACAGATAAAGCTTTAATGAACAAAAATATTCACATATAAATTGGTTGATAAAAGTATGCATGCATGTGATGAAACATTACATTACCATTTGGATATTAGAATTAATCATGTCACAGTAGTAACTACTATTTATCAATACATCAGATTGATCTGTATAAAACTATAAGCAAAGATGGATAGTAGTTAGTGGTGGAATCCAGTATGCGCGTCTCGTCTTACCTGGGGCTCTTCAGATGGATGTACCTGCATCCCAAAGTTGATGTTCACTCCTGGACTCGAACCCAGAACCGTTCGCTTCAAACGCCATCGCCTTATCCACTTAGCTACCAAGTCCTGACAACCAATTGTTTGTGTAATGGGGATGCAGGTACATCCAGCTGACGAGCCCCAAGTGGGATGAAACACGCATCCTGGATCCCGCTGCTATCCACCATCCATGTTTATTTATAATACTTGTGACTTAAGGCAATATTGAGGCAATCGGCACAGGATGCACAAATGCCAATAAGAGACTGGTCAATTGCGGTCTTAAACATCAATGGGAAGATTCAAACAAACAATACCAAATGTGCAAAACTAGTTTTCAATGACTAACAGATATGGTCAAAATTTTTTTAGATTAGGGTGGAATTTTCCGTTCAGATTTATTCAATGCTACGAATAGAAAAAGACGTTACAGATCCTGGTGAATGTATGAGCTTCAAGTAATTCGAGCGATAATTTTAACTAATTATTAGAGATTTTCGTGTGAGATGACTGAGAATCTGTCACAATGACTTAGATGTATGAATTAGTAGTTTTCTCTTAGATTTCGAGCTTTGAAACCATTTTATATTTGTTTTATTAAACAAATCCACTCTTCTTTCTAACTCTATATTGTAAATACTTAGTCTCTTTTACTACTAGTGATATTGTAACTGTAATGAACGAGAACACAACCAATGGATTTTATTACAAAATTACAGAATATCCCGGTAGAATGTAAGAACCATATATAAAATACTTCACTTGTAAATTGTCCACACTTATGTCTGTCGAAACAAGTAGCATACACTACATAACTAATTCACTTACTCTGGAATTGGTCATGATAATTTCACCTAGTTATTATGACAAAGTGATGGAAACTTGAACTGACATACATATGTGTCAGGTTCTACATTGCCTATTGATTGATTGGCTGACTAACTGATATTTTACATAAATATTTAATAATCATTGCATTGGTCACCATATGAAACAGTAACAAAAAAACAACTAGATGTTAGAATACTAACTTACAATAGAGCATGCAAGCAATCATGACGCACATTAGCATACATTCGTTTAAATTGAGCTAATGCAGTGAGCAGATGATGTTCTTCAACTTTTAAACTAACACGATCTTGTTCCCAAATTTCTAAACGAACAATAACTGTTACAATGTTGAATGGAGCAAACAACTGGAATCGAGAAAAACAAGCAAGAAATTATTGGAAAAGAAAATAATTAACCATACGATATGCGTGTACAAGCATTAGTCGGATAAATCTTATGTTGTCCATCACAAATTGAGTATAGGTTTATGTATTCGGTCACGTACTTAGTTTGAGATTTATTATTATTATTATTATTATTATTATTATTATTATTATTATAAGCTTTATTCAAAATTATATTATTGGTACAATATAGAATTCTCAGCACAAAGTATTTCAACAAGTTTCCGTTTCGTACTTCTTGGTTGATCCTGACGATAAATATTGAGTGATCGCCAGTTAGATGTTAGCAGTCCAGTAAATGAACATCTGAATAATGTATATTCTTTTCTCTGCTTATTGCCAGCGACCACATTATCTCTTATTAGGCTTTTGTAACTTTCACAACGAAAGGTTGTACACTTTTCAGAAATGCACCAGGATAGCTTATGCGATTAATAAACATAATGATATATTAAAACAAACAAAAATAGATAACTTGTTGAAATGTCTAGATGGCAGGAACAGGTAGCCCCGATGCTCAAGCAGGCCGCCTTGAGATACTCTGACTGCCTAGAAGTAGATGAAGAGGGGAGTGTAAATAAAAGACCTATCATTGAATTACTACTTATGATATAAATTACTAGATCACTACCCAAGTGCTTTAATCGACAAAGGACTATTTTTAAAATGAACTAACTATGGTAGGTCATTAAGTAATCAAATATATGTTTATTAGACTCATATCTATTGGATAAAAGATAGATGTATCACTATAATGTTCAAAGCAAATTACATGGGGTAAGATTCGAGATTATAACTGATTGGTTCAATAATGAATAGTTCTAAGAATTGGTTTTGTAGTGAACGAAAAAAAGGCGGGGACGGCTAAATGCATTTTAATACAAAATTACAGCGTATCCCAGTAGAACAAAAGAACCATACATAACATACTACATTTACAAATATTCCATCAACTATTCTTTACATTCTGTATGATTCTTCCAATTCACAATTCCTTTCTAACTCCGTTTCGGTTTTATTCACTTCGATCGTCTTAGCTTTCTGCTGCCATGCGTCTCACTTCCAAATGGTGTTACATACTACTTATATCTGTCGACACCAGTAGCGCACACTACAATTTATGTATTATTTTAAGTGATATTTAACTGATTTCGTATTCAAATAATAAACAGAATAATTAAACAAACTCAACTGAAAAAATCTGTGTTATCTATTTAATGTCGCAATACTAATATTGATAAGATAAATCCGACAACGACAAAACTATTTATTTGGAGTACTCTTAATGAACGAATTGTGATGATGAAATGATTTCGTTTAATACAATTTATTCTAGCATTAGAAAAATAAGAAAAACAATTATGCAAAATGAAATTATTGCATCTAGACGATCTAAGTTGTGGGTGTATATTGAGAGAACAATATGTGTATTGTGCATCTAACCTTAACATTGCCAATAGTATGTAATCATCATACATAAGAAATACTTTAAAGATACTATCCCAATACTTATTTATCTAAAGTCAAACCCAAGACACGAACTATTTTCAGTTTGAAAATTATTTGAACCGAATGTTAAAAGATGAAACAAAACACTACATACATCTTGTGGTCAAAAATTGATTATTGAATTAGCTATACATAACAACCGGTTAACACAAACTTCATTATCCAGAAAAGAAACAAGGAATGTAGACAAAAATCGTCTGAATTTCCTGTAGCAAACTCGAACTCAAGTGAATAACAAGCCGTGTTTTTATTTTAATGAACTGATTGTGTGAAAAGTGGGGAAAAGTAGATAATAAAACATTTAAATATCGTTTACAAGAAAAAAGCATTAATGTATTCTGAAATTAATGAAAAGCACTTCAGAGCATTTGTCAAAATGAAATACAGAAATAAATCGATAAGGAACAACGCATAAAATTTCCCTTCTATAGTTTACAGTCTAATTTTAAGTAAAAATTAAACTATACAAATTACATAAGTTTTTTTTTACTTGAAATGTCAACTTGCATTGAAGCTGAAGTGAAACTTATGTATTGTTATTGTGTTTTGTTGTTTCATTTCGATAACAAGTTGAAATAAACCGAGAATAAATAAAAGTTTTTATGAATAAATGGTGTATGAAACAATTATCGGTCACCAGCTAACATGGGACTGAATCTTCTGACGTTGCTCCAGTACCTTGTGGACCAGATTTTTAAGTCGAAGCCTCCGGGTGTGGCCCTCTAAGAAAGCCATCTGCTTCGATCAGGGCACCCGGGCAGTATCACAGCCCATACACAAATCAAGTGTATTATTATTATTGGTTTCTTGAAAATGACCGAGTAATACACTGCCTTTTCTTAAAAAAATCAACAATATCATTCACATTTAGTTTGAATGTCAACTGAGATAAACATTACCTATATCAGTAAAAGGAGAACCTCATGGAACTTTTTTCGACACCATAGTGTACCTGAGACAATCGTCAACATCATTCTAGACCTTCCATAACAAACGCACAAGCAAATGTACGTCAAGACAGCCAATGTGGCGGAAGCCTCTGTACCAGTAAGCCTCAACATACACAAAGGAAAAAGCAAGATCTTCAAACACAACACGGAGAACGCCAACCTAACCCCACATGATAGAAAAATTCTGAAAGAGGTGGAATGTTTCACGTATCTGGGTAGCATCATCAATGAACAGGGAGTATCCGATGCATATATAAGGACAATGGTTGTCAAAACAAGGACAGCACTCCTACAGTTGAAGAACATATGTAACTCGAAACAATTGTCAATCAATATCAAAGTCACAATCTTCGATGCGAACGTGGAGACAGTTCCATTGCACAGAGCTGAAACTTGGAGAACTATCATAACCATCATCAAAAACGCACAAGTATTTATAAGCAGTTATCTACGCAAGATACTCAATGTCCGTTGATCGCATACTGTCAGCAACGGCCTACTATGTGAGGGAACAAACCAGCTTCCAACTGAAGAGGAAATTAGAAAAAGACGTTAGGAATGGATAGGAAATTACCAAATTGTATCAAGAGGCAATCCCTAACTTGGAATCTTGAAGGGGAACATAAAGATGGAAGGTCAAAGGATACACTGTGTCGAGAATCAGAAGCAGACATCAGAATGATGAATACCGACTGGAAAAGGTTGCCCAGGACAGAGTTCCGTGGAGAATGCCCCCCACGAGGGGTAACAGGTGTAAGTACTCTCAGTAGACTCGAAATGAAATTAGCACACTAAGTACAGCACGCGTTGATACAATTGTAGTAGCAATGATACTAAGGAAGATTAAACATTAAAAATATAGTTTGAGAATGAAATGAAACGTAAAGACATGCGTAATGGAATACTGTAAGTCATCAGCAAGAGGAGGGTGAAAAATGAATGCATTTTGATCATAAGTATGACTGATTCTTTGGTCATGTCACCCAATCTCTCCAATCAATGATCGCAGTTATTGAACAATGGGTTCGAATCCCGCGGGGGGCGGGATCGTGGGTGCGCACTACTGAGGAGTCCCATACTAGGACGAAACGGCCGTCCAGAGCTTCCATGTTTTCCATGGTAGTCTAGCTTCAACTGACTCATGATTTCAACAATTGAAATTCCCCCAATATTTATTGGCTGTTTATTAAAACTTAAGTAGACAGTATTACTTAATGTGCAAAATTAATGAGCAACTAGACAAGAAAGTATTGCTAAATATATTCCCTAGAGAATTGCACCGCTTATAATGAAAGAATAATTATGAAAAAATACACTGTGATCATATGACTTCTTGATAATTAAAATTTTATGGCATTAAAATATTAACTGCAACTATTTCACAAATATTTAAAAAATCGACAATGTGTGTGTAATTAAAGTTAGTTCAGATATGTGAATTATCACGTAAATATCCTTGCTCAAAGTTTCAGTTATACATAATGAGGCGATTTTAGTAAGTGTAATATGAACTACGAAATCTGCTGTAATTTTCACAATCATCAAACACAAAAAAGGATACTTTATCTTTTTAAAATATTATAGTGAATGAAAACTGAAAATTACTATATTCGCAGATAAGCTTTTCAGCTGAATTATGTAAACTTTGACAACCGTTAGAAAGTGCTTTCAAAAAAATATATTATGATGGATTTATCGGTCACCCGTAAAATGTAGTATGGTTGGAGGTTTTGAGGAATTACTGAACTAGAATGAAGGTTATAGTTGTTCAATTTAGCTCGGTATTTATTTACTTTGATTTCTACACAGAGTCCATCAAAATGTTTCTTGGAGAGAGTGAGAAAAAAAGACCAAACAAAAGAATGGATTAACGTAGTAATTACCTCATATTACCACAAAAGAGCTTTGAAACAACTTAGAAGGACCCTAAACCTAACATTAATAACAGAGCATTTTTCCGAAAGTACAATAGATACTCTTAGTTCTATGTTCATAGCGGTCAAAGACACAGTACTAAGAAAACAGAAGTGTGTCAGTGAAACCAAACACACTAACTACAGTGCTGTATACTATAGATAAGGCTTCGTAACAGTTAAATGTGAGGATGAAGGAGGGAAAACTATGTTCGAAGCATATTCCTAGATTTTAAGGAAACGTGAAAAATCGGTGACAGAGTTAAATGTTGTTGAAACATGACACATAATTGGACTTGGATGTAATGATATACTTCAAGACTGTTTTGGTTCTCATAAGCAAAAAATAACAGCCGAAGCCTGGCATATTTGGGCAGACTCAAATAATTTAAATAGACGGGTTAGAGTCTAATTAGCTACATGGTAGTATGTACTGATTGATGAGTAAATAGAAATTTAATCTAGTACTATTACTTCATCGAATTTCATGTAGAAAACAACTATATAGACGAATCCATTTTAGCCAGTCGCGCATCGAACAACCAGCTAGTTTAACATGACGACACATTTATTTATTCTCAGTACACGT